ATCTGGACAGTGACCTGTAACCAATTATGTGCTTCTTGTCACGAGACCTTGTATACAGATGCTATAAAAACCCTGAGCTATCCTAATAAATCGGACATATTTTAGATCTCATAGATCGTGTATGTATGTCTGAGCCTCCCCGTCAACAAGTGGCGTCCGAAAGACAGGGACACTGGGACCGCTGCCTCCTGAAGATTAGCCAGGAAGGTCTTAAAAGCGAAATTCGCTGCCCCTCTGTTATAAGTTAAACAATAAAAGCCGGTCTGCAAAAGCTGCAATAAAGAAATAGTTTATTATAAAAGCATTAAAACAAGCAAAAAAAGTAACAGTGCACTGGGCCGTTTTTGCACTGGGGCAAAAGGCAGCAATGACTGAACGTTTCATCTCCCTTTTATATCATTCTGGCTTCGTATTTCACAATCCGAGGTCTGGATCTAGATGATTGCCCGTGCAGAAGGCAGACATGATATGTTTATTGGGGCTTGAATTCTCACAAAGAAAGTGTATTTCGTTTTCTTCTTTCCTGGAAGAAGGATTATCTGGTCTAGGATCCTTTCTTGGAGTTCCCGGAAGAGTTGATTGCCCAATTACCTTAAGAAAAGGTTTGTGTATTCCTTTCTCAGGTTTGTGTATTTCTCTGTCTGGTTTTGGATAAGACTTTCCTGGCAATCATTGTCTTAGGTTTTACTGGAAAAGGGGTTTGTTACAAAACACAGAATTCTATCATTAATTTTTACTACAGGAAAAAAAAATACAGAAGATTATGGTTACAGAGAAATTACAAGTATTCAATTAATTTATTACAGTCTTACATTCTTAATTTATTACACCTCTGAAGTTTAGCCAGAGACGGTGTTAAAAGCGGCAGTGTGAAATCGGGACTTCGGGTTCGCTGTTCGGTCAGGACGTGGAAGCGAACTGGACGAAGGAGGGAGAAGCTGGCTGAATTCCGGTGACGTTACCCCAGCGTCTAGAATTGAAAAATCCGTGCGGTAAGCAGTTTGTGGGAATCTCGCCCTGATCAGGCGAGTAGCCAGAAAAGGAGAAGCAAGATGGGGACCGTCTTCTCAGAAGAGGAGGCGGCGGTGGAAAAGCTTCTTCAAACTATCCTTTATAAAAAGGACTTTCATTATGAATGTGCCACTCTTAGAGGGTTGTTGGAATGGTCCAGGGCTAAGGACCTTATCCCCGGTGTTTCTGTTGCCTTTGAAGTGTCTATTTGGGACTCTCTAGGACAGAAACTGTGGGAAGAGACCTCAAGAGGGTCTAAAGAAGTTAAAAAGTTTCCAGGCATCTGGCGCTTGTTGGTAGACGCACTGGAAGAAGCAGGAGCGGAGCGGCGAGTGTCTCTGTCCGCGCACGCAGCTTTAGATGGTGAGAGCGGGGCGGAAGCGAAAGTTTCCGAGAGTAAAATCATGGTATATACTTTAACACCACCAGTTTTCATTCGTGCTAACAGCAAAATAGCACAGCGGGTACCTTTCAAGGCAGTGGTGCCCAAGACAGAATCACGGGCTCGAGGGGATGAAGGTTTTGGTTCCACAGGTTCTCCTGAGGTGATGTTGGCCATAGACATAAAGCAGGGAAAACCTAAGGAGAGTGTAGTTGTGCAGCATCCTAGTGGTCAGTCCAGCATTATGACTATGCTCGTTGATACTGGAGCGGATGTTACCATCACCCCCAGACACAAATAGCCTAACACCTGGCCTGTGGTAATGGCAACTGCAGGAGTGAAAGGGGTAGGTGGTGTACAGCAGACATGGATCAGTAGAGATGTGGTAAGCTTTATGTTGCTTGGGCTTTGCAGCCATTTTGAAATCAGCATCCCGAGCTATTAGTTTATCACTACATGAATGATATTCTAATAACAGACCAAAATTTAGATATCCCTGTGTTGTTGTTGCAGTTAGAACAGGAATTAAGTCAGCGTGGTCTGAAAATCACTCCTGAGAAGATTCAGAGACAAGAGCCTTGGCAGTATCTAGGTTGGACCATAACATCTGGTATTGTGAAACCACAGAAGTTAACTATTAACACTGACATAAGAACCTTGACTGATGTGCAGAAGCTACTTGGTGACATACAGTGGGTAAGACCTGTTTGTGGGATAACCAACGATGATCTAGCTCCTCTAATGCCTTTGCTAGGGTCTGTTGCTAATACAGAGCTTCGGAGAGAATTGTCAGACGTGCAAAAAGCAGCCATAGTTAACATCTCAGGTAAAATAGCTGCAGGGTACGCCTGTAGAATACTAGAAGATCAGCCAGTCCAGTATCTACTTGTCAACTCTGGAGGGGATTACTGTTTTTACAGATGCTGGACGAAAATCTCGACGAGCGGCAGTGACCTGGCAGGAGGGAACAGAGTGGAAACACAAATTGCTTCCAGGTGTTAAAGGTGACACACTGCAAACCCTTGAATTGCAGGGTGTAGTGTGGGCTTTCGACTTCTGGAAGGAAGAACCTCTCAATGTAATTTCCGATTCTCTCTATGTAGTGGGAACAGTTCAGAGGATAGAGAGGGCAATGATCAAAACCCTGAAGAATAATATCTCAGCAGCACTCATGACACAATTGTTGCATTTGTTAAACCAGAGAACACATCCCTACTTTATCACTCATATCAGGAGTCACCAGAAACTGCATGGTGGTTTAACACTTGGTAATGACAGGGCAGACAAGTTAGTAGCACCTACATGGGTCGGTCCTGCTGTGAACAAATTTCAACAAGCAGTCTTGTCCCACGAATTTTTCCATCAGTCTACAAAAGTCCTAACCAGACAATTTGGGTTAACTCTATCAGATGCACGTGGTATTGTACAAACTTGTTCAGCCTGCCACAGAAATGGGCTGGGCATTGGCTTGGGGGTCAATCCTCGTGGTTTACAAGCATTGCAGCTTTGGCAGATGGATGTCACTCATGTTAATGAGTTTGGAAGATTGAAGTATGTGCATGTGTGCATTGACACTTTTTCTCCTGCTGTATGGGCCTCTGCTCATGCTGGGGAAGGTGCCAGGTATGTCATTCGTCATATGCATGCATGTATATCGGCCCTAGGAGTCCCCACGGAAATTAAGACCGATAATGGGTCCGGTTATACCTCACAGCGTTTTCACAGATTCTGCATGAATTGGGGTATTTCTCATGTTACCGGAATAGCTCATTCTCCTACAGGACAAACCATCATCGAGCAGGCTCATGGAGTCCTGAAATCACTTTTGCAAAAACAGAAAGGGGGAGAAGAGCTGGATAGCCCACATAATCGACTTGCAAAAGTGTTATATGTTTTGAATTCTTTACGGTTGACGGGTGGAAGATCGGACCCTCCTGTTATAATTCATAACACTTCTAGGCAGTCAGGTTTGGTAAATCCACAGGTAACAGTGAAAGTTCAGTACAAGGACCCACAAACCGGGGTCTGGAAGGGGCCTGCGGAGGTAAAACTTACTGGTAGAGGATATGTTTGTGTCCTCACAGATACAGGAGTTCGGTGGCTGCCTACACGTTGGATAAGACCTTGGAAAGGGAGTGATACTGCAGAACAAGGTTGATATTGTGGTAGATAAGCTATTCAGAAGTACAGAGTTTTTTCAGTATTATTATAAGATAGTTTATAGTGTAATATCATACAATCATAGAAGTCGAGAATTTAAGAGAGTGTTTCATGTGAACCTAATGTATTAGCCATTAAATTTTAGTATGGGTTAAGTTTTGGCATTATAAGATAATAATAAATGATAAGTGAGTGAAGGTGTTAATTTTTATTGGTGATGGGTATATGTACTTATGTGTTATAATATGTTAAAAGTATGATAAGAATGTATTGTAGTATCATATAAATTGCTCAAAAACAAAAAAGGGGATTTGTGGGAGGAACATGATGAATGTGTGAGCAATTTATATTGTGTGTGGTACTTTTATAAACTTTCATATAGTTTTATAGGTACTAAAAGTTATAGGTGTCAAGATGGCCACGGGTGTCTTTGCTAGAACAAAAGGAAATCAGTGCCAAGAAGAAGGTGGAGTTTGATAAAGTAAATAATGGCCTTGTTACCTGTTAATAACCAATTATAAAGGTATTTGTAATACATGTTTACATCTGGGCAGTGACCTGTAACCAATTATGTGCTTCTTGTCACGAGACCTTGTATACAGATGCTATAAAAACCCTGAGCTATCCTAATAAATCAGACATATTTTAGATCTCATAGATCGTGTATGTATGTCTGAGCCTCCCCGTCAACACTGGGTCAATCTTTGCTAGAGATAATTGTGACATCTGCCCCTGTGTCTAGTAAGCCAGACATGGATTTCTGTTGGCCTGATTTAAGAGAGAGAAGAGTACATTCTAGTACAGGTCTGTCAGCAGTAACCTTCTGAGCCCAATTAATGAGAATTCCCTGTTCATTTTGGGTCTGTTCCTCCATAGGTATGACTTGTGCTATTTGATCTGGATTAATCACTGTGGGTACAAAGTTAGGTTTAATTACAACAGATACAACTTTAGAATCTTGAAGACAAATAACCATGGGTAACACAGTAATACCTAATGCAGTGGCAGATTCTGTTCCTGTGATAACACATTTACCTTTAGAATTTGAGACCTGGGAAGAGGCAGAAGCCAATAACACAGTGTGATACTCTGCATGTTCTAAGGTTTGAGGATTTGAAGTTGCTAGCTCCAATTTAAAAGCACCTGTTTGAGGTTTTTGTTGGGAACTGTTTGAGAGAGGTAGACTAGATTACTGAGAAGAACCTTTTATGTCTATGTGCTGCCCTAAGCGCTGGTTATGTAGTTTCCCGCACGGTGAAGAGGGATGCATTCAATCTCTGTTGCTATTTGTTGTCGAGGGGGGGGTGGAACTGGAATGGAGAAACGGAGGCTTGTGTGCCTTCGGTGGCGAGCGGGGACGGGCGGGGGGGTTCGGTGACGTCCTCCCGTCCCTCTCAGTATCCGTAGGGAACGCGGAAGTTCTTGTCGCTGTTCCGGTGTGGCTGGAAGCTGGAAATGCCATGCTGCCTTTGTTCGACCACGCGGTTATGGTGGTCGAGGCTTGTGACTGCAAAACTGCCTGGAAAAGCTGCGGCTGCTGGTCTTGCGCCGGGTGCTGCCGAGCGGGTGGGGGGAGGTCGCTGTACGCACACCTGCTGGATTTTTTTCAGCACATTCCTCCCCCCTGAGTGTCTGTGGCAGCCACGCTGCATCCGGGACCGTGGAAAAAGGTTTAGTGTCTCTAGAGGTATGCCTGAAGCCATGCTGCTGGTCAGCTGAGGACAGCCCTCGCTCAGAAACTGTAGGACATGTTCACCTGCCCTCGGAGGGAGAGGAGGGGGGGAAGGGGTTTTGCCGAAGGTGGTTGAAACAACAGAGGCAGGCAGCGTGTCTCTCCCCCACTCTATCAGCAGCCGGGATGGCAGATTCCGGGATGGGTCAGGGGGTGTCTCGGGGCTGGCAGGGAGAGGGGTCACCGCGCTGGTTTCGATCCGCAGAGGGGGCTGTGGGGGGCCAGCGCCAAAACCACCACCCATACCAGGGACCAAGGACGCGGCACCACCACAAACAGACCATGGTGGGGGCTGCTGACGGACCCCCGTTCGCGGCTACCAGACAGTCTCTTCCACCCTCCCCGGTCTCACAAAACGGCTTCGATCACCCCCGTCTCCCAAACCCAGGGGGGGAACCATGGAAGGGGGGGTACCAGGCTGCCTTGGACAGTAGTAACTCTTTCCTTGCCAGCACCGGTGCAAGGAATATCCAATGCAGAGATGGAGTTACATTGCTGTTCAGATTTTGAAGGCGTGGAACTTTTCTCTTGCATTTCAAGTATAGCCAAAACGTGAGTCCAGGCTATGTTGGCATGAATTGCTGCTTTATCATTGGTGTTTACAGTGAACCAGATCTGTCTTCCTAATAAATTCCAATTTTTAGTCGTAAGACAGAAAGGTAATTTATATTCATTTTTAACCATAAACTTGGAAAGGTATTTTAAAGCTGTTTTGTTAGCCAATTTGCCATTGGAACTTAATATGTCTTTCAAATTCTTATAATTCTCTTTTTCAGTCTTAGAGAGGGGAATACCCATTTTCCTTTTTTTTTTTTTTAAAGGGAATATGCTGGCACTGCTCCTACCTGTAGTCGTCAGGTGGGTTGAGAAGTGTTCAACAGGTTGCTGTCCCGAAGGGTTGAGTCGTGGTGATGCAGCTAACTCTGCTAACACTTCGAACTGCTTAGCACCGGGCCGTCGTCGATGCAGAAATCGCCCCTTTCTGCGCTTGATAACTGCTCAAATCTTCACAGAAGACTTCAGTAAGTCGTAGCTTCACCACGGGCACCATTTACGATGGCTGATTTGGAGGGGGGCACCTTCAGGTCTTAGGTGTTAAACCATTCTCTGGAGGTGTAATGCTCTCCCAAACTACCCCTCAAGCACGTGGCTCTATGAGCCTGTAAGAAGGACACACAGACCACGGCTGAGGGACGAACGAAAGAGGAAGTTTATTGGGGATGGGGGTTTATATGGCTTTCAGGGGGATTGAAAAGGGACCAATTACAAGGTCAAGGTACTACAGAAAAACCCAATCAGGTAAAGAGTTAATAGCCAATAGAAAGAGGTGAACAAAGGCCAATGGGAAGACCTAAGGATATTTTCCCAGGACATTCCTGCATAAGGGTCCTTCACAGGGGGATGTCAGGAAGGAGACAGAGTGACTTTTTAAACAACATTAAAAACTTCTGTTTCTATAACATTTGAGCTGTTTTCTTCTTTTCCTTCACCAGTCCATCTCTGACAGGACTTCTTCCATCCCATATAGGATAAATCCATTGCTACAGCAATTGGCACTCACTGTTCCTCAACCTTCAACAATCCCACAGCAGAAGAGTTCTCTGAGAGGCCAGGTAGTGAATTCAACTGCTTAACCACCTCTGTCTCCACAGCAGCTCTTCCGAAAACCCATCTATGTCTCTTGGGGTCTTTGAAATACCCATTCCTAAGGTAGTCAATGCCCAGGATACATGGGGCATCTGGACCAGTCACAATGGGGTGTTTCTGCCACTCCTTCCCAGTCAAACTCACTTCAGTTTCTAACATGGTCAACTCTTTAGACCCTCCTGTCACCCCAGAAATAGAAATAGTCTCTGGTCCCACATGTCCTGAGGGCATTAACGTGCACTGAGCACCAGTGTCAACCAAAGCCTTGTATTCTTGTGGATCTGACATTCCAGGCCATCAGATCCACACAGTCCAATAGACACAGTTGTCCCGTGCCTCTACCTGGCTAGAGGCAGGACCCCTCTGATTCTGGTCTTCGTCCTGCTCGTCGCAGTTTTTCTTCTGTGAATACTGACAGGAAGTACCTTCTAGCAGGTCAGATTCCTGCCCACGGGATACCGGTACTGCACTCACTTTCACAGGCTTCCCTTTTTCTTTCTCTTTCTACTCTTGTACTCAGGCTGCTGGGGCACAGGTAGGTTTCCTGTCCCACTGTCTCATGTCTTTTCCATGGTCAGATAGGAAATACCACAGCTCGGTTCGTGAGATCTGTCTACCCTCTCTAACTGGGGGGCGTCTGGTTCTCACTGGTGCCATATGGAAACTGTTTCTCTCAATCCTCTCTTTCAGTTTCTCCTGTTGATCTTTCATCTCTGTAGTTAGGGTCTTGTGGTCATTAATCAATGTCTCTACAGTAGAAATGAGGACCTATAGTGGTGTTTCGATCATACTGTTATACAACCAGTTTATTTGTTATAGACACCACTAGCTCTCTCTTCTCCCTAGCCTGCAATGATGTCAGGTAACAGCCATGCCCAGAGAGACAGGGACTCCTCGATACCCACATCCTGGGCAATAGACCTCAAGAACCTTGCTTCGCCACCATTAAGGTTTATGGCATCACCCGTAAAGTCCCAAACTCAGATCATCCAGACCAGAATGGGCTCATTTGGGTGATGAATAACGTCCGCTCGTAAGCTCCGAATGTTGTTATACAATAAGGATTCAATGATGATTTCTGGCTCTGGGCTAGCTGCCTGTGAGGGTCCTGCTTCCCCATCATCATAAACTGGGTGGGCCAATTTGGTCTTATATTTCCTCTTTTGGATAGGGGCAACTTCCATTGACTTGTTCTGTCCCTTGGAATTGGCCTTATCCAGAGTCACCCTGGTATCAGGCATCTTGTTCCCGTGTTTTCCTGTTCCCTGCAAGTGCTGCACCATACCGAGCAGCTTCTGGTAGGCAACAGCCAAAGCCCCACATGCAGCCGCCAGCTGCCTCTCCATGGGTCTATCATGACCTCTCTCCCTCACGACTGTCGTGGGTCGAGGCGGGATCACGACATGACTTCATGATACCAACTCTTTATTACAACAGTACAACTACTCTTATACAGTTCTAGATAACACAAGTACACACACCATTGGTTTACCACTAACATAAGAACCCATGATTGGACATAGCCACACATGTCCGAACACAATAGGTCAGCATTCCTGACAGGAAACCCATTCTGTGTCACAGTCCTTACTGTCCATGGTTGACCCTCTGCCAGGTGTAGAAGTTCTATATTTGGTATTTCAGCTTACAGAGAGCCCAGAACCAGCTGGGTTCCCCCACACACAGTTCTCATTATTTTTGTAGAGTTTAGGAGTTATTCAAGAGTGAGCCTCCATGTTGTAGGAGCTGAACAACTTTCTAGGAATTTACCCATATCCTCCCATAACCCATGCCACTTGAGGTTTTACACCCCTGGGGCAGGCTTCTGGGCACATTCTCGATAATTCCTGGCCCTAACTTTGTATATTGGATATACCATAATGGCACACAAACTTGCACAAAAAGCCCAAAAAGTAAAACGCCTCTGACATCTAAGGAGGATTTAAACTTCCCGGAGGCCACTGTATTGGATTCAAAGGGAAAATGGATGAAGGGTTGGGCAAATATACCCCCCTGTGTTTCTCCATAGAGATGGGTGCCATTATCCTTAAACCCCCAGAGGAGACAGCGTAGGCTAGAGCAGTAGCGTATCCTTGAGAACATATCCCGGATGAAAATCACAGGTGATGAGTTTGCCGTGTCATAAACCCAATGCAAAAACTCAAAGGTACTTATTGTAATGAGGGTCTTCATACCCAAGCTGAAATACATCGACAGGTGGGACAGATATCTTGGCATGGTTATATGCCAGAGGAAATCAACAACCCCAAACATCATGGTACCTAGAGGTTCAAAAACATGTATAAATCACACAAGGGCAGTTAATCCTTTTCCACTTTTCCTCCCTCAGGCCCTACATTGGGCCCCAAATTATGTCTCAGTTTAATGAGACACAAGTGTTTTGCTGAGGATGAGTTATGAGGAAGACCCAAACTCCTCCCTCTAAGCAACAGTAAATCCGAAATTAAGAGGCTTCAATTGAGAATTTGTAAAAAGGAAAATAACCCTTTATTAAAAGATGTGTGTGTCATAGTTCTGATTTCAGAAAGGAATTTTTCTTTCCCTTTCCCCCTGCGTGTGTGCTCTGTGGATGAGCCATCAGGTGAACAAAAGAATCGGCCTGGCCACTAATGGTCGAGATTAGTCTCCTTGACAATGAAGGGGGAGGAGTTGGCTGGTGTGTGACTGAGAGGGGGTGGAGGCTGGGGGAAGAGCTCAGTCTCTCTGCCCTGAGGGGAGCCTGCTGCGGGCTGTAGACACTGCTGGGTTTCTTTGGTTTTTTTTTCTGTTGGAGGGGAGTTTTTGCTGCTAATCTCGGCTCATCTGTGGCTGGCTGCAGGCCCTGCTTACAACAGACCCTAATCAGCTGAAGTTTGTGAGTTTTCTTCCATTGGGAGAACTTTCTGTTTTATTGCTGTTGTTTTTCCCTCCCCTTCTTTCCCCCCCCTACCTGGCGGCAACCAAGGATCTCACAGCGCCGCCTGGTGACGGGCACTGGACATTACAAGTTCTACTCCTCCAGTGATCCAACAGCGCCACCTGGTGACTACAATAGGACACTACAAGTTCTGCACCTTCAGTAACCCAACAGTGCCACCTGGTGAACGGTACAGGACATTACAAATTTTGCACCTCCAGTGACCCGACGGCGCCCCCTGCTGACTGTGGCTGGAACTGCACCAAAGGGTGCAAAAAATTGAACTATTTAAATTTTCCTTTTGCCGGTTCATCGGTTTTGTTCTTGAAGGGGATTATCGGTGGGTATAGGAGTATTGCTTGGTCGTTTTACTTAGTTTTTTCATGTTCCTGTTAATATGATACCTTGAAGTTTTGATGTTTTAATTTTTTTTATTTTTGTAGACCTTAGAAGTAGTTATGTAGTAAATGTAGATTTTAGAGTAGCAGCATATTATCCCTTTACCCTTAACACACCAGCTCAAACCCCTGTTACCCATTCCCCTATCAATTCCCTAAATTCCATAGCCTGTTTAGTCTCTTTTTCAAGGTAGAATTGTAGAAGAACACCCTAACCCTACGGAACAAGATATAGCCATAGACCCAACAACCTTCAGGCCTAGAATTCTGGAAGGCCTCCAAGGACATTACGTGTTCTGAGGAAGATGAAGATGAAGAAGAGGGGGTCCCAAAACGCCCCCAGACCCAATTCTCAAGAGGCGTGGTGGGGGCAGAACCTGGGTGGTGACTGGACTGGATTGGGTGAAAATCATTATAAAAACTGTGGACATCTGTATTGCGGGAGCGCGGCTGGGGTATTCCAGAAAGCCTGGGGCTCATTAAAACTTTTGTATCCTTATCTTATCTCCTACCTAATTTGGCTTGGAGTCTTTTTTTCCCCACAGCCATTTAGGCAACAGTTTGGTGGCCCGTACGGGGAATCGAGACCTGTGACTCCTCTGGATCGGTATTCCGTTTTGCAGGGATTTCTTTCCTGCCGGCATATCTTGAAGAATTCCTGCTCTGATCTTGGGGGGCCCAGCTTCTCGGAACCGCACGTGGAGGAGGTAAGATAAAGAACAAAACTCCTAGAGAATTTTAATTAGCAGCTGCGGGAAGGAGTTTCCCCAGGGCTAGGGAATACGGTGAGGCTGGGAAGGGAAACTTGGACTTGGGCCCAAAGTCAGTGTTTTCCCAGTCTGTTGGCAAAGGGATTTTTGCCGGAGCGGGCAGTGGAACTGCCCGGAAAGTTTAAGTTAGGGCAGGCAGGAGGATTTCGGTTTCTTGTTGGCCAGGTGCGGCCGGAGAGGGGGGGACGCCTCCCGCTTGAAACTCTGAGTTTCTGCCTGAACCTGGTAGTGTCTGGATTAGACACAAGGTCTGCAGTGTGTGTGTGGCTGTGAGTTCTAGGTTAGATCTGTCGTTTTCCTCGTGTGCTGTTTGTTAACATGGGATGTACACAAGCTAAAGAAGAAATTCCAGAGGGAACCCCTCTTGCTTTGGTTTTACGGTATTGGGATGATTTAACTGGCCCTGTGACATCTTTAAAAAGGCGGAGGTAGTTAGACTCTCTATGGATGTTTGGCCCTATACCGGGAAAATTAGAGGAATAGCCTGGCCGAAATTTGGCTCTTTTGAGGCAAATACAGTGTTTCATCTTATGACAATCCTTCATAAGGAGGAAATGTGGTCAGAATTGCATTATGCAGAATTATTCTACCTTTTCTTAACCCGTCCGAAATTGAGAAAGGTATATAAAAAGGACAAAGTTAAAATAGAAGCAGAACACACAGAAATGGTATTAGAGGAGAAAAAGAAAAAGAAAAATCGTGCTAAGCATGATCCTGAGGAGGAAACTAATCTTGAAAGCCCTGCAAATGAAGATCTGGACCTTTTAATTCCCCCAAATATGAGAATAGGAAGCGCACCCCCCCCTTTGGCTCAGGCTGCGGGCGCAGCAGACGTAAGTCCATCAGGAGCGGGGGTAGCCCCTGGGGCGGGTCCTGCCAACTCGGCAGGGACGGCTGGATCTGCAGTGCCGGGTCCAGTTGCTTCGGGGGCCTCGGGGACAACGGGGGGACAGGTTGGGACTGCTCCGGGTGGAGAGGGGGTCCTGGGAACTGCTGTTGGTGCTCCGGGACCCGCAGGGCCGGCGCCGGCGTCGGCTGTTCCAACCGGCACGGGAGTGGCAGGAACCGGGGCAGCCTCTGCCCCGGCTGCGCTGGGAACTCTGGCACCGGCCAGACCGGCGGTAGCCCCTCCCAGAGCTGCGGAACCAGCCCCTGTCGAGGCCACAAGGCCGGTCCTGTCTGAAGCTGCGAGCTCCCTGGGTGTCGGTGATCGGGGAGCGATGGTCCCTCCCGAGGCTGTGGGGCTGATCCCGTCTGGAGCTACGAGCTCTACCAGTGTCGGGGTGGGGGCGATAGTCCCCCCCTGGCCTGCGAGGCCGTTCCTGGCCGGGGCTGCAGGCCCTTTTGGTTACGGGGGGGCGGTAGCGCCTCCCTGGACTGTGGGGCCAGTCCTGGCTGGAGCTGCGGGCTCTGCCGGTAGCGGTGGGGGGGCCGTGGCCCCCGCCGGGGCTGCTACAGACAGCGCGGGCTCAGGTGCTGTGGGAACAGAAGGCTCAGACCTCAAGGCTGCGGGAGGAGGAGTGGGGGCAGTGTCTGCAGCCTGGGTCCCTGCCCTGGCTGACATGGGACCCTCCAGCTCTGCCATGAGGGGCGGGAACGAACCCGCCCCCATCCCTTCGGCACCGCCCTATCCTACGGAGGAAAGGGGGAACCAGGGTTTAGAATTACAGTATCGGAAGAGGAGCAGATTAAAATTTACTGATACAGGCACAGAAGTTCCTAATGATATGTTCTTAATTAAATTCTGTAAAGGGGGGAGAATAAAAATTATCATCCCTAACACTAAATATATCGAGGTAGCTACCTTTTTCATACAGGAGAACCACGGAGAAATACCCGCAGAAGCTGAGAATGCTGTGACCCCTTTAATGTGGACTAACAAATACCCTGGGAAGTCCAAGCGAGCAGAACCCGTAAGCATCACACTCAAGCCAGAAACAACACCGGCTCTACTTTACCTTTCCAAGTCCTACTGACTTCCCTCACTGCTGTCAAAGTTACTGGCAAAGGACCGTGGTTTCATTACTCCAGAGTGAAGAAAGCTTCAATTCCTGGAACTATCAGCAAATCAGAACCCAACTCAGACGAAGAGGATGTTGCATAGACTGTTTCTGCTGTGCGTATTATTTGTACAGTCGGTAACTATGAATTAAGTTTGGAGCCTAATTTACATTTGGTTTTAGTAAAATGCACTTAATATTCTTTGTGAAAGTAAGTGCTGAATTTGCACTATGAATTTGGCTGCAATTCGGAATCAAACTAAAATTCTACATCAGGTGTCTCTGGACAATGTCTCACTGGGTTTGGGAGACACTCTCCACAAACTTACTTCATGGTTACCGAACTGGACCTGGATTAAACAACTGTTTCTATTGGTAACGTACATAGTTAGTGTTTGTGTAATAGCTTATTGCATGAACCAATGTTGTAGATGTTACTCATCTTTTTGGAAAGTGATTAGAAGTAAGTAGTAGAGATTGGACAAAATTTTTGAGTTTTGTCCAGTCTCTAAAGGGGGGACTGATACCTTGAAGTTTTGATGTTTTAATTTTTTTTATTTTTGTAAACCTTAGAAGTAGTTATGTAGTAAATGTAGATTTTAGAGTAGCAGCATATTATCCCTTTACCCTTAACACACCAGCTCAAACCCCTGTTACCCATTCCCCTATCAATTCCCTAAATTCCATAGCCTGTTTAGTCTCTTTTTCAAGGTAGAATTGTAGAAGAACACCCTAACCCTATGGAACAAGATACAGCCATAGACCCAACAACCTTCAGGCCTAGAATTCTGGAAGGCCTCCAAGGACATTACGTGCTCTGAGGAAGATGAAGATGAAGAAGAGGGGGTCCCAAAACGCCCCCAGACCCAATTCTCAAGAGGCGTGGTGGGGGCAGAACCTGGGTGGTGGCTGGACTGGATTGGGTGAAAATCATTATAAAAACTGTGGACATCTGTATTGCGGGAGCGCGCACTGGGGGTATTCCAGAAAGCCTGGGGGCTCATTAAAACTTTTGTATCCTTATCTTATCTCCTACCTAATTTGGCTTGGAGTCTTTTTTTCCCCACAGCCATTTAGGCAACAATACACACATACCTTTTAATAAAGGGCTGTTATTTTTTTGTTTTTCCTTTTCCATAATTTGTTTTCCTTCAGTCGGAGCCTCTTAATTTTGGATTTATAATTGCTTAGAAAAAGAAGTTTGGGTCTTTTCCTCCTAATTCATCCTCAGCAAAAGACCCTTGTCCCATTTAAACTGGGACAATGTGTATTGACAGAACAACAAAAGAACACAACTAAAACAACCAAAAATAATCCTAGACCCAAAAATAATCCCCTAAAAAAAAAAAAAGGTAAACAGTTGAGTTTGTGCCCTTTGGAGCAATTCTAACCACAGTCAGCAGGGGGGGCTGTTTGATCACTGGTGGTAAACACGGCTGGGGACCCCTGGATGTGCTGGAGAAGCCAAAAATGGAGGTCTTCCCTCCCCCTCACCCCTGCTGACTGTGGTTGGAATTGCACCAAAGGGTGCAAAATTGAACTGTTTACTTTTCCTTTTGCCGGTTTATTGGTTTGTTTTGAAGGGGATTATTTGTGGGTATAGGAGTATTGCTTGGTTGTTTTACTTGGTTTTTTTTCGTGTTTCTGTTAATACACACATACCTTTTAATAAAGGGCTGTTATTTTTCCTTTTCCATAATTTGTTTTCCTTCAGTTGGAGCCTCTTAATTTCGGATTTATAATTTCTTAGAGGAAGTAGTTTGGGTTTTTTCTCATAACTCATCCTCAGCAAAAGACCCTTGTCTCATTTAAACTGGGACACTGTGAGAATTAATTAATTAAGTGAATCTCCCAGTTCTTATCTCTACTCAGGAATTCTCTGACTATTTTTTTTCCCTCAACTTTGAAAAGAGCAGAGGGGACAGGAGGGGGGAAAAATGGTTTTCAGTAAGTGTTTAAAATCCAGACAGGGTAAAATCCACAACATTTTTGGTGGAGAATGCAGGCAGAGACTGCCAAGAGGGGCAGGGGACGTATCAGACCACGACAATTAAATGGTGCCCCGTGTGAGGACCAGCCATAAAGATTTTGAGATAAGAGAGAGGTCTGCAGACAAAATAGACTGACCCATTTTAAGAATGTGTGCTGTAGTTGTGGTAAAACCACAAAAATAGAATTAAGTATTATTGTTTTAATTTTTAGTGGAGAGATTTTCAATATATTTTTTAATTGAAAGTTATATGTTAATTGTAGAGTTTAAAATGTCTTAAAAATGTAATTCGCAGAGGCAAAGGGGGGAAT